TTTTATATTAATAATTATTTTAAAACTAAATTAAAATTCACAATGATACCACTTGACTGCTTTTGAAAAAATAACAAAGGCAAAACATCCTTAGAATTCAAAACTCGTCCTTTCAATAAAGTTTGATGGTTGAATATTACCCATTTCCTATTTTCCAAAAAAGAAAAAAAGAAAAAAAAAGGATGGTTGAATATGACATTTCCAATATTAAAATAAGATTGCTTTTCTTGTGGAGAGAAACATTGATGACAACCGCAATCTTTCACGTCAATCGCGGCTTAAAACATGATTAGCTCTGTAATTAAGAATGCACATGTACGTTTGTATTGAATAAAGAAATTAAGAAATTATTCTCACGTATACTTCTTTTTTTTTTTTTTTTTTTTTTAATATATTTGCAAGGGCCGGGATTCGAACCCAGTCCAGGAAGGGTGGAATACACCGAGGTGACCATTGCCATTAGGCCGCAAGAGTCAGGTGCATTCTCACGTATACTTAAATTTTATAATTCAATAATTATATATATATTTTTTGAACATGCAATAATTATATATTTTATCATAAAAAATACTCAATATAAAATTGAGGCTCTAATCTCTCTTTTTCAATTGTAATCCATTCCCAAAAAAAATAAAAATAAAAATAAAAATCGTACCTGCATGAATATGCTTGAACATAAGTTAAAGTAGAGCTAGGAGAGACATGGATTGCTTTTGTAACTGGTTTAGCTAAGCAGCTTCGAGTTATCATAGGTCAGGAGATAGATCAGGGTGCTGGGAGGAGCCGGGGGGGAATCTGTTGGTGGCCTTTTGGAACCCTTTTCTTTTGATTGAGGAAAAGAAAAAGAAGTGCACTCAGAATTAAGTGGGGGAAACAGAAAAAGGCGCCCTGCCACTGATCAGTGATCACCGCTGATTGTTGAATCACTTTGGCTTTGTACTTTCATAACATGTGGTCTAATAAGAGCTAATTGTAATTTTAAGTCCATTCAATCACTAAAAAACACATGTATTAAGTTTATTTGTCTCCCAAATCAACTTATTTAATATCAAAAGATCCACCTCATCTAATAGTTTTTTTTTTTTTCAGTTCAGTACGATTTGAACCAATATCTTAAAACTCAACTTAGTGACTGACTTATTATAGTTATCAAGTTTGCTTCAATCAGTTGGATCGATCTAATCATCTAGTCCAACAATTTGACTTAATAAATGCTATTAAATTTATTTGATTAATTATAATTATTTTTACTTTGATAGATTTTATTTTTCGAATTGACTAAAATAATTTTTACATTTATTGATTAAAGTAATTATTAATTATTGATATTTTATTTTTCATAGTTATTAATTTCAAATTAATTTTATTAATTAAATTTAGTAAAATACATAATATATTTTTTCTTTGTAACCACTTAAAACATTAATATCATATTAATTATAAAATTATTTTTCTTTTTATTAATTTTATTTTCAAAATTATTTAACACTAGTTTTGATTTTAACTTTTTTTTTTCCAGACTATGAAGTGTACAACACCTTTTTGTTTATTTATAAGAAATTAGTGTGCAATAGTCCTGACCTTCAGGAAAATTAAATTTCTATCATATAATTAGAAATTAAAATCTCAATTCAAAACTTTAAAAATATAATTAGTTTTTAAATCTAAATATTAATATTTAATAAGATAAATTTTTAAATTTGAAATTAAATTTTAATTAAATAAAATGATATAATTTAAATTAAAACTAAATTTTTTTTAGAGTTAGAATTAATATGTATTTTTTCCTATTTATAATATAAGAGTTAATTACTAACAATATGATGATTCGAATAAAAGATATTTGATTCTTCTTAAATAATATTTTGAATTCGAATATTATGAATTAAGAAATAGGTGTTGGGAGAGCTTACTCCCTTATGAGGTTCAATGCGGGTAAATTACGAATTAATTGAAGTTTAATGTAGTTTTTGGATGTTAAGAGGTTAGTAAAAAAAATAAGAAGTTAATTAACGAACAAAAAAGTTACCACTAATCAAGCATGGGTAGTGTACCTAGCTACAAATTTTTTTGGGCCTTAACACTCTCATTTCTTGATAAGCCCAATAAAATCGGATACGGCCTGTGATACTAAAAGCCCATCCAAGTCCCCAAAAACGTGCAAAGAAAGCAATTTACCGATAAAACAGTTTTCACTAGTTACCTTTTCGAACAAAACGACCCCCATCTTCGTAGTTTCACACTTTCACTGCGTCCAAATGAAGCTAGTGTCGCTTACCATAAAAATAAAAATCAACCGTACGGCGGCTCCCAAAACCAAGAAAGAAAAAACCAGCACTTATATTTCTTTTTCACTCGATGCTGCTGGATGCCTCCACCTTCTTCTAAAACGAACCTCTTACTCTCAATCTCTCTGTGGTTATTGCTCTGCCGGATTTAATGGCTGAGACCGTAGAAAACGCTACCGTCAAAGTCGAGAGCAAGCCGGTGGCCGAACAGCCGAAGCGATGGGCTGATGAAGCAGATGAGGAGACGCCGGAGGAACCGAGCGCGTCTTCCACTTCTGAAGATAAAGGCGCGGAAGAGCTCGGCGTCGAGAACTTGGCGATTGATGAGGAGAAGAAGAAGATCAACAAATTCCTCGATGAACCTGAAGATTCTAACATTAAAGCCGTATGTTTCTTTTCTTTTTTTTCTCTGTCTACGCTGGGAGGCCTTTTTGATTCTTTAAATTTGTTTGTTGTTTATCTACGCTGGGAGGCCTTTTCTGTTCCTTAAATTTGTTTGATGTTGTTCTCAAGTAAATGTATTTTCTATCGAGATTCTGAGATGAGCATCGTTTAATGGTCCGACTGAGATTTAGGGTTTTATGCTTTAATTTTAACATACTGCGGTTATGGGGTTGTTCGGTTGCGGAGAAACTGTCTGAAAGTATGATCAATTAAATTGGACTGAAGTGTAGAAGAAATTGCCTATATATATATATATATGAATGAGAAATTGTGGTTATGTGCTTTTTTTTTTTTTGCTGAGAAAACGAAGCAAGAGATAAACTGTGAGATTGATTAAACAGGAGGGTTCTCTCACTTTTTGGATCATTTAATTTGAAATTTTAACTGTTTAGTTTCTAAGCTAGCAAGGAGTTTGGAGATTGAAATCCTCTTTTATGGTTTCTGGAAACCTTGTTAGGAGTTTTAAAATTTTGAATTTTGATTTTCATGTAGGTTACTACTGGTGATACTCCTTATACATCTGCGAGTAGGTTTGAAGATTTAAATTTGTCTGAAGAGTTGCTAAAGGGCTTATATGTTGAGATGAAGTTTCACAAGCCTAGTAAGATTCAAGCTATCAGCCTTCCTATGATCTTGACCCCACCATACAAGGATTTGATTGCTCAGGCACATAATGGTTCTGGTAAAACAACTTGTTTTGTACTTGGGATGTTAAGTCGTGTTGATCCGAATGTCAAGGCTCCTCAGGCTATCTGCATTTGTCCTACAAGAGAGTTGGCAATCCAGGTTTGTATCTCTTCCACTAAAAAATGCACAGCAGCAATATCCTTCTGTGAAATGGCATGTCTTACAAAAGTGTTTTGTTTTGGGATTTTTATGAGTTCATTTTATGAAACACAATTCATTTTTAGATCATACAACTGAATAATGAAATGTCCAGATATTTCAAAAATGAAATGAAGCCAACTTTAAGTTGGGTTTCTGATGTTTACAACTTAATTTTTGCAGAATTTAGAAGTTCTTCGGAAAATGGGGAAGCACACTGGGATAACTTCTGAAGGTGCTATTCCAATGGATAGCACAAATTCCATTCCAATTTCAAAACGTGCACCAATTATGGCCCAGATAGTTATTGGTACTCCTGGCACTATCAAGAAATGGATGTCGGCAAAGAAATTGGGTGTAAGCTCTGTGAAGATTCTTGTATTTGATGAGGCTGATCACATGCTAGCTGAGGTAACCTTGTAATGTTGATTTATATTGTGATTTTGGTGAGATGCAAACTTATTTATCTTGTATTTATATCTTCCTAGTTGTGTTTTCTGATTTTCTGCTAAGTTGTCTGCTTGGTACCTTTTGTGGGACACAGCTCAACCTGGTTAAGCATAAACTATAACATATTCCTTTTGTCTGACTTGGTCAATAGACCAACTTCAGTAGGAACTTGCCATCTAGCTAGAGTAGGTGAAAAGTGTAAAGCAAATTAATGGATGCTAAAATTAGAAAAAGTGTCGTTTTGTGTGAGTGATTTGGATTAATCAAATGAATGGTGATCAAATTGTAACTTATTGAGATATGTTTAAAATTATTGTGTTAATATTGTACTTGCTTTGGCTATGGTGGAGTTTCATGAAAGATCATGTAGAGTATGTGTATGAATGGTTCCAGGAGATGGTGAGATGGAGAGGAAGTTTGTATGAGAATCATGGGGGTTGAAAATAAACATCATCAAGCTGATGCTGGAAATTTGAAAAGTTCCCCTGGAGGTTTGGTGAAAATAACAATCATCAAACAAATGGCAGAAATCTAGAGCTTATGTGCAGTTAGCTGATTTTTTATGCTTTATCATCAAGAATCAGTCTGAGCTTCACATGTTTGGAGTGAATGTTGAATATATCAATTTTTGGTCATGTGCAAACTCATAATGCAATAACTATCATAAATATTTTGCCAATTGATTGTGTTGTTGACTTCTTGTTCCTTAATTGCTAATGTAATTGGACTTCCTGCTGTAGGATGGCTTTAAAGATGACTCCTTGAGGATAATGAAGGATATTGAAAGGATCAGTTCTCATTGTCAGGTTGGTATATTATGGTTTGTGTGTGTACTCACATCTAACTGTCCATCCAACAATCTGTCTTTGTGTTTGTCCAGCTGTCCACCCAAAATTGTGATAAAAGGTTTGTTATGAATAGAAATTAATTCTTAAGAACTCTAAGGAAAGAGTATGCTCGGAATACTTATTTATAGCATGCTTGCAGGAGAGCCACATGCTGAATTGATGACAGGTGTTATTTACTTGCTTAAAACTGTAAATCAATGAGCATACCCTTTGCTTAGTGTCCTTGATTGGCTCTGTTGGTAGTTGGTTAAAGATAAATATGAAATATATTGATGGCATTCATGGTTTGAAACTCTCGTTTATCAGATAATGAGAGGCTAAGTGCATAGGGGGGTCCTTATGATCAAAATTTACAAATATATTTGTGATTGATGCTAGATAACATTAGTTGATTGACTCTTTTTTTTTTTTTCCGAATATTTCAAGGTTCTTCTATTCTCTGCCACATTTAACGAGATCGTTAAGAATTTTGTGTTGAGGGTAGTGAAGAGAGATCACAATCAGCTCTTTGTAAAGAAGGAAGAACTAAAATTAGAGTCTGTAAAGCAGTTCAAGGTTTATGTTCCTGAGGAACTTTCCAAGGTTTTGGTGGTTAAAGAGAGAATTTTGGAATTGGGAGAGAATCTGGGGCAGACGATAATATTTGTACGCACAAGGAATGGTGCAAGCCTGTTGCACAAGTCACTTGTTGAACTTGGTTATGAGGTTACTACAATTGTAGGTTCTCTCAGGCAAGAGGAGCGTGACAAAATAGTCAAAGAGTTTAAAGATGGGCTAACGCAAGTTCTCATATCTACTGATGTTCTAGCCCGGGGTTTTGACCAGCAACAGGCATTCTTTCTTTCCCTTACTCAGAATGCCATACTTTCTGTCATTGTTCAATACGTGTTACTGTCATCTTGACACCTTATCTTTTGCAGGTTAATTTGGTCATTAATTATGATCTTCCCATAAAACATGACAGACCCTCAGAGCCTGATTATGAGGTGTACTTGCATAGAGTTGGTAGGGCTGGGCGATTTGGCCGCAAAGGTAAATTTTTGATACTGCTTTCCTCTTGAATACATTTTTGTCAGTCCTTAGAAGTGCAGTTCTGGCGCACACACACATCAAACCTAAACCTAGTCTCAATTGTTGCTCTTTTTGTAAGAAAGGTTTGCTGCCTGTGAAGCCCGTGTCTTGTAGCACTGTATTTGCTTAGTCTTATAGCACTGTATTTACTTAGTCTTGTCCAAACATTTTTTATTTACTTTTTTTTTCATTAGGCAGCATGTAGATTTAAACATTGTTTGTTTTATTTTTGTTGCCTATGACTTGGGTGAGTAGTTTACTAGACTTGCTAAGCATGAGGTGTTCCTGATGTACTTTTAAAAAGTTTAAAGTACTTTTAATGTCATACATATGGAGAGGAGATCTTAGGGATGGGAATAAGCAACTTAATTGGGTTTCAAGTATTGTTTCAGGATTTTTTTTCCCTTATTATTTAATGATATTCGTGAAAAGAGTAATTATTTGGAGTGGTTGTAACGTGTGTGATCCTACAGGAGCTGTGTTTAACTTGCTGTTCGGCGATAGGGACCAGATGGTTATGGAAAAAATTGAGACTCATTTTAGCGTCACAGTAGAAGAGGTAATGATTAATCATACTTTCTTCAACTTTTAAACAAATGGAGATAGAAAACTCTTTCTATCTCTCTCGCTCACATACCTTGACTCTATCTAATCACTATTCACATGTCAATCTGAGATGCAGATCCCGGATTGGAAGAGTGAGAAGGATTTCAAAGGTGCTCTTAGGTCAGCTGGTCTGCTGTAATTGCTGTACTGCACCTTTCGTTTTTGGCAAGGAGAGAATGTTGTTTACCAGATTATCATCAATAATCAATGGTCAAAGAAAGGCTTGAAAAACCAACCCAGATTTTGTGATTTGCATGTCATGTTGTTTGTTTCTGGCATAATTCTGGGGAAAACTTAATAGTTTCACTGTTTATTAATTTGTTTGGCCCTCCAGAAACCGGAGCCTTGTTTTTGAATTGCATAATTGTTTCTCGTTTGGTTTCATCATGGTGCCTGTATATTTTGAATTACGACTTTGATTGTTCTTTTGGGGCGTGAACATAAAACACGACCTGCATCGAGTTGTATTTTTTTTTTTTTCTATAGTATTAGTCTCTCAATATTCATAATCATATTAAGTATTGATTAATTCAAAATTGAATCACATCAAATTTTATTAAGAAAATTTTTTTTAATATTTATTTTTTTATTCATAAAATTTAAAATTAAAATATTATAATGAAGGTATTGTTTAAAGAGAATTAAACTCTTTTTAATTTGGATTAACAGTAAGTTAGTAATTGTACATAAATCAGATGATTCTCGGGAATGCTGCTTTACGGTGAGCTCTCTTCTCTTTTAGTTTCGTTATCTTTACTATCTAACCACTCTGTGCAACCCTTTTTGTGCGAGAACCGAGAATGACAAGCTATTATTAATCAAGATCTCTCAGTAACAGAAAATAATATACTACACTACCCGGGCGTACCCGGGAAAAAATCTCAAAGAACAGATTAGCAAGTAAAAGCAGGATCCACACTTCGCTTCACTTATTCATTCTTCCCATTTTATTATTTCTTGACCATGCATATGCCAAAGGGTACCATCCTCTAATGCCTCCCTCCAACTGTTGATCGAAATTATTCTACAATGGTGTATTAACATTTTTAATCTCGAGACAATTTGCAGTATTGCCGTTAAAAAAATGCACGGGAGGATAACAGAGCAGCTATAGGGTTTCATCAACTGTTATGTCCCACTCCGCTGAGGTGATCTAGCCACCACAAGTTGAGCTAATTCTTCTAGTGAAATCCTTCATAAACAATTAGCAGAGAGTCAGATCAGAACCAAAATTTTACCAAAATGAAGAATTTTGAAATGAAAGAGAAAAAGATACACAACTGAAAGTTGAAATCTTCTAATTGCCTAACAATTTGCAAGAATTTGTAAGAGGGCAACAATTATGTAAAGCATACAAGGGAAACAAGCAAAACAGACACTGCTTCGTCTGGTCATATAACAGAAGTCTGAGGGTGTGAGTTTGAAGAAATTTCCAAAGACAATAACTGCAACGTATGCTTAGCAAATTTGTATACTACCATACTAGCAAGCTGATCAATTAACAACTCTGAAGTCTGAGCAATAGAAAATTCTAGACCTCAATGATAAAAAATAACTGAAATAAAGTAGCACACTGCCTGTTTGCAAAAAGTAATAGTCACAAGCTCCAATACCACCATTCAACTCGAAGGAACCACCAGCTTTTACAGTTCAACTTAAAAATCCCAAATTTTTTTATTGTCCACCCCACCCCCCCAACCCCCCAAAAAAGGGAGTTCGTTAACCACCAAAGACTTGAAAACACATTTGGCAATGGCAAGAAAATAATTTAGTGCAAACAGTTAAGAAAAGAAATAGGCCCATAACTTACCATTAAACAAACACATTAATTCGATAGTTTCCAGCACTCTTGATCTGAAGAGGTTGCAGGCTCAGAAGCATTGGGAACAGGCTTCTCTGTCAAAACTTCTAATTTCTCTGCATTTCTAAAAAGTTGCTTCCGAAGCACACCATGCAAAGTACCAAAAAGCTGCTTCCTCAAGGACTCAAAAGCCAAATCCAGTTTCTCCAGTTGTTCCATCGCATTTTTATTGTACATGAACAAGCCATAATAAAGATCAAAGCTGTCCCCAGCTGTATTTTCCACCAGATTCAACAAAGTCTCATAACCCTTTGTGTTGATTGGTGTTGCCTCCAATTTCAACTTTTCTAAAACCCTTCCCACCGTGTGGGTGATGAACTGTGACCCTGCTGCATACCAGTCATGTTCTGCACAGGACATATCTACCATTCTGCATCCCTCTCGTGCAAAAATATCAAGGAATGCATTGCATCGTGACAATCGTATTTCATCACTTCCAACTCTAACCTTATCAAATAAGAAAGTTAGACCTCTCCACCCATGTTTACCACTCTCTGGTCCAAACATGGGATGTGTGCAGAGAATATCAAAATCCGGTGGCAAGTTTTGAACAAATAAATTCTGCGGGAACTCTTTCACTGAAAGTACATCAACAAACAGAGTACTTCTCTTCAATCTCTGAAGTGGCAAAGACCTGAGAACTTTTTCAGTTGAAAGAATTGAAGTGCACAGAAGAATCACTTCAGGATGCTCTTCACAAAGGTCATCTGCATCAGCAAAGAAAGGAATCCCTAGTTTCTGAGCCACATCAGAGTAATCCGTTCGAGAATAGGCTAAAACTCTGTGGCCCTGTCGAACAATGGTTTTTGCAAGGAACTGACCAAAATTTCCAAATCCAACAATGGCAATCTTAAGCTTTGAATTGCCATTGACACTGTCAGATATATGCCCTCTGTATTCATCTGGTTGAGAGGCTCCTTCAGATCTGGATTCCATAGATAGTGTGTGAATATAAACATAAAAAAAGGATTTAAAAGCAAGTTATCCCAACCAAGCACCCTCAAACAGTTTTAAGATGTCTATTAGACCTGCCATTAACCTAGTATGAATAAGCAAATAACTATCTGCTAAAACTGATATTAACAAAGCTAAACTCCTGAAGAGGGAAAAGATATTGAACTCCATTGTTCTTAACAATACATGCAGCCCACGATCTCAGTCAATAATTTCTACAACCATTTAATCATCTATTAAGCATCCCATTTCATGTCATAATGAACATAAATTGTCAAAAACAATTAAAAGAAAAGGAATACTCATTTTACATAGGTATAAATTTTAAAATTCGCCATTAAACACAAATGATAAGCAGATCCCAGTTTGAGTTTTTTATGCCTCTCTTTCAATCAAGTTTGGAAGCTTCTTAAACTTCACCGAGAACCTTTATGGCATTCATATTCAATTCAACTATCCTTAAGCACTTAGCAATGAAAGTAACAGAAGACCGAGACAATTCTAAGAGCAAACTTTAAAATTTAATTCTTTGAAACTTTACCTCATTGTATTCAAGCTGGATGCCAACGAAGCTCCATTTAGATCGCTCTCTTGCAATTTCTGTGGGTTCTCAAACAACTGCCTCCTCACAACATCATGCAGTCCCCCAAAAAGCTCCTTCCTTAAAGCATCAAAAGCCGAATCCAACTTCTCCAGCATCTCTAAAGCACTCGTATTATACAGAAACAACCCATAATACAAATCAAAGCTATCACGACATGTGTTCTCCACCAAATCCAACAAAGCTTCATAACCCTTGGTATTAATAGGGGTGGACTCCAAACTCAGCATCCCCAAAATCCTCCCCACCGTGTGGGTTATAAACTGAGATCCTGCAGCAAGCTTGTCATGCTCTTGGCAGCTCATCTCCACCATTCTGCACCCTTCTCTTTCAAAAATTGCAAGAAAGTCCTCGGCTCTCAAAACCCTTGAATCCTCATCTCCAATCCTAACTTTTTCATACACGAAATTCAGCCCATTCCAGCTGCTCTTCGCGCTCTGGGGTCCAAACATAGGATGGGAGCAAATGATGTCGAAATCTGGCGGCAGTAAATCCTTAAGGAGGTCCTTGGCAAACTCTTTGACGGACAATACATCAACGAACAACGTGGATCGCTTTAATCTCTCCAAAGGAAGAGACTTTAGAACTTGTTTCGTGGAGATAATAGAGGTACAGAGGAGTATAACTTCTGGGTGTTGCTCACAGAGATCATGGGGATTCAAGTAAAAAGAGATGCCAAGTTTCTGAGCGAGGTCTGAATAGTCGGAACGCGAGTGGGCTAAAATGGTGTGGCCTTGAGCGACAAGGGTTCTAGCGAGGAATTGGCCATAGTTGCCGAAGCCAATGATGGCAATTTTAAGGGGTCGGTGAGGCGGGGACGGGGCCTCTGATGGTCCGGAGTTGGAGTTGGGTGCAGAGGAGAAGGATCTTATGTGAAGTCTAGTTCTGCGGAAAGAAAGGCATCTAACGGAGGGGAAAGAGACAGAGAGAGATTGGATCTGAGATAGCGGCCGGCAGAAAGAGGAAATAGAGAAAAGAGAGGATTTTGGGGATGGAGGAAGAAGACGGAGGAGAGTCAGCATTGTCTCCTCACTGAGAGCTCAACAACGGCGACTCAAAAAGCCCTTCTTGGGTTATAACTCAGAAGTTTAAAAATCAACAGTTAGAATAAATGCATAAATGGTTTTTTCTTTTTTCAATCCGCTGTTAGAAAAGAAATAGACAAAATTAATAATCTTAATAAATCAGAATCAGGGTATGAAGTCAAGATTCATTATATTCAACTTTGGTGGCTGCCATCGTTAACAATATTGAATGGAATTTAACTCAAGTGACGTGACTTCTCCCAGACAATTTATTCCATGCTATTGCAGCTATCCCTTTACCTATCACAGGTCACTTACAAGACACCATATACTGGCACAATTCATCCCATGGTGACTTCTCTGTTAAATCTGCCTTCCAACTCCTCTTACAATCGCGTCTAGCTGACATCCCCGAAGCTGGAGAATGGACATGGATATGTCAAATATGTTGTCCAAAGTGAGTTAAGCTATTTGTTTGGTTATTGAAGAAAAGAAGAATCCTCACAAATTCAATCCGCTTCGACAGACATATAGCACCTACTCCAGTCTTCCCTCGTTGCGAGTAATCACCTGAAATCCCATTACATCTTTTGCAGGATTGCTACTACTCACGACTCGTTTGGGATGCCACTAACTTTCTTCCTGCAGACTTCTTCCAGTTGGATCTTGACCCTTGGTTGAGAAAAAATTCTTCCACACCAAGGAGGAGATTTGAGGCGAGCATCTTTCTTGCAACTATCTGGTATTTATGGAAAAGCAAGAATAAGCTGATATTTGAGGCGCAAAGGATCCCACCGCTGATTATCACTCAACAAGCAAGCAAATTGGCCTTAGAAACAAAGCTTGCTTTTGAGGCTAAAGCAACCCTCACCTTAAAAACCCCTAGATGGGTCAGTTGGACACCCCCACCTCAGCACTTCCTTAAACTTAATACAGATGGATCACATGATCATAGCTCAGGAAAGACAGCTGTAGGGGGACTGATTCGCGATCATTGTGGGCGCTGGCATCATGGGTTTGCTATAAATGTGGGCATTACCACAAGCTTTTTGGCTGAACTATGGGGATGTAGAGGAGGTCTTAAACTTGCAGTTTCCCTTGGAGTGCAACAGTTAATAGTGGAAATGGATTCCTTGCTGGCAATTCAACTCATTCAGGATCGGAAGGTGTCAACTGGTGTGGCTTCAGTGCTTCTATTTGACATCTTCTTCTTACTTTACTCTTTCACTTCTTGCTCAGTACATCACACTCTCAGGGAAGGTAATGCAGCTGTGGACTATATGGCCTCCATCGGGCCTAACCTTGAGTTGTGTACTACTTTTTCTCCAACCCCCCAATGGGTATTAGTCTGATTTTGCAAAACGACTGTACAGGGACTATGTTTCCCAGAAACTAAGCTTTTATTAGCTTCTGATGTACCAAAAAAAAATTATATTCAACTTTGATAGGGTTACTTTTTTTAATAAATAATAATATAAGTTTAATAATTAATTGATAAAATTTTATATTGATTTATAATAAATTATAAAAAATATATATCAATCTTGATTTAAAAAAAAAATTAAATTTGAATATTAAATTATATCATTTTATTTAATTAAAATTTAATTTAAAGTTTAAAAATTTATCATGATATTTAAATTTAAAAACTAATTAAATTTTTAAATTTTAAATTAAAATTTTAGTTTCTAAATATATGTTAAAACTCTAATTTTTTTTATTCAAAATGGATATGCACTAATCTCAATTAATTATTATTTAAATAATTTTTTTACATATTAAATGTATATTATAATTATTTTTTTAAAAATAAAATAAGCCCATTAAAATGAATTTTAGAAAATAAGTAGATTTAAATGGCCCAAAATGGCCCAAATTACAAATAAAGTTTACTAAAAATAATAATATTTTTGTCTTTTCAAACCTAAAATATTCTTAATTATATTTGACTTATAAATTTATTAAGATATCTTAATATTCCCTTCAACAAGAATAATACATATTTTGTTTAATTTAAGTAGATTTAGTTTCTAATTTAGGATGTTCAAATGTTGTAATGCATTTTTCCTTTCAAAGTTATCATTTAATAAAGTTATTTTTATTTTATTTTTATTTTAAAAAATAATTATACTATATATTAATAAAAAGTCTTATATCTATTTTATTGAATAAAAAACTAAATAAATTAAAATTAAATAAAAAACTAGTAGTTTTTTCATATTTTAAAATAAATAGTTTTTTCTACTTTAACATTAACATTGTTTTTTTAATTATTTATCTTATTATGAAAAAAGTCTCATTATTTTTAATTTTTTAAAGATAATATCAATAAATCCTCAAAACTTTAGTTTGAATATAAAATTAAAAAATCATTATTATGTGATAAAAAGAGTAAAATTATTCCTTATATTATTTCATTAATGATTTTTAATAATTTTCTTATCTTATTCCCAAAATTAGCATTTTAATAATTTTAATAAATTAATTTCACTTTTCTTATAATATAAATTTCAGTTAATTTTTAGTAGTGTTAATTTGATTTTTTGACTTTTTGATAAAATTTCATAAAAAAAATTTAACAACTTATTTTTTTTATTAAATCTCTTACTATTTAAAAATTAAATTAAATCCTAATTAATTTAATGTCAAGTCGGATAAAATCTTATAAAGAAAAAGCATTTTTTATGTCTATCTTTTCATTTATAAGATTTGAATTCAAAATTTTATATAAAAAAAATCAAATTTTTAATACTTGAATTAACTGCTTGTTAGTATTTAAAAGTTTATATGAACAATAATTGAAAATTTTTTGCATTTAAAATTTATATATAAGAAAAAAAATTAAATTAAAATTATTAAAAATAAAAAAATAAAGTAAATAAATACTTAAAAGATAATATTTTAATTATAATATCATATAAAATTATAGATTTAAAATTATAGCATATTATTAAATAATAAAATATACATAGTACTATAAATAAACTTTAAATAAAAAGAGGGAGTTATATAATTATATACATCATATTGTTAGGTTTAGATATTACATGCGATTTTAACGACATTATTTTGGAATACTTAAATGGCATACTCCACTCTGTGGCCAAGTTTGGGCTGTTTTGGTCCTTTTGGATTCGATAGGATGGCTCGCCAAAAAATGGTTAGAAACGCTTGGGCTACCTGTACCTGCCATAAATGGTTTTGGTTTAAATCCCATTTTGATTCCTGGATTTTTGTAAGGAATCTCTTCCTTTTTTTTTTTTTTTTTTTTTATGGAATCTCTTTTTACTAAATTGAAAACATTTTCTTTTGTCCCTAAAATTTAATTATTTAATTCCCCTTTCTATTTAATTATTTAATTTCCCTTTCCATTCCTCTACATTAATTCCTGCTCCACTCTTAAAAATATGGGACCCATTTTATTTTTCGCTTTCATATTTTTTCAAAAGATGGGACCCTTTTTTTTTTTTTTTTTGGTTGAGCGTGAGAATGACGTGAAAGCCCTAATGTGTCAACTTCAGCACTTTGTAAATGCTAGAAAACCTACATTTAATTAAAAAAATTAATTAACCTTAAAAGACAGATCTATTTGTAAAATAATAATATTTTATAAGTTAAACTTATAATTTAAATATTGAAATTAGTATAAAAAATTAATTATCTTAAATATACTAAGTTAATAAAATTATGCACCCTTAAAATTATCTTAAAAAAATTAATTTTAAGATGCACAAAAGTTAATTTAAGAACCTTCTAACCTTAAATAACAATAAAAATAAAATTTGATTGGAATTTAGTTCTGGGTTTTATGAGGTTGAATTTGGTTTAAGATTTTTTTTTATCTTAATTATATAATTAAAGACAATCATCTTTTATTTTTTATTCCATTCCACCCGTAACATACGACTCGAACTCAAAATCTCTTACTTCAAACGAAAAGAAATGAATACTAAGTTACTTAAGTCGTTAGCTGATTTAAGATTATTAGAACAATGTTGGCACTAAATTAATCTGTTTAGACTAGGGATATGAGATATTTACAACCGAAGATGAGAAAGGTGAAAAAATGAAAAGTAAATTGGTATAATCTAAAACCATGAGTTGTATAACAAGTATACTGCTAGATACATAGGATAGAGTGTCAACTAAACCCATACACAAATTTCATCCAATTGAAGATGTTTTAGCGGCGAGTTGAATTAGTGCTCGCCGGTGGTAAGTAGTGCGGAGTTTCTTGTACTTGTGCACAAATGTTCCGAGGTCTATCTCTCTGTCAAGTAACTGTCTGTGCAATGCTTCTGATTCTTCCTCTATCTTGTTCATTGCCTCTGAAACAACAAAACATATCAATAATGATCAAGTCATTTGAATGATCTAAAGTGTTAGTAATGGATTATTAGGATATAGGATTGTATACCATGAAGCCTATGAAGAATCGATGCAGGGGAATAGAACTTCATTATGTCTTCCTTCTGTTTTTCGAGCTCACTAAATTTTTCCTGAGCAGCAGCCAGCTCTGTTGTTCGGATGATCATGCACTGTGGGCACAAAACCATAAAAGTTTCAACTGGTGCACTAATTTTAATCGGAGAAGAGATTTACGAGGGCCTGGGAAACTCACCTGGTTTCGAAGTTCCATTATTCGTGGTTCCTTGTCCAAATTCGACCCTGTTAATTGAGAGATATATATTAGCAATTGGTCTTCCCTAATAATTTATGGTGTCTACTACAATGTTTTTACATTATTATGATAGTAAAAGGGTGAACCACTCACTAGCAAGCTGCAAAGTCTCCTTGCGAAGTTCATCTCGTATCTGATGAAGTAACCACGAGAGAAGACAGCATAAGAAATTATCAGAATTAAGCAAAAATAAAATGAATTTTCCTGTTTTATTCATTTATAGATGTTACTGTTAGTTTTGCTGCAACCTAGAATACTCAAAAGAGCAATCATGTTATGAGGGGAAATAGAGGGTTGGGGGGGCATGATTTCTTATCTGATGTATATTATTATAATAAGGGTATAGTTGTGTGTTTTGACATGAACATAAATCTATTCTTAGAACCATTTAATTTTGATTTTAATTAGACAGCACAAATTCCCTAAAATTAGTTGGATGGATTGATGCATGCACTAACATTCCAGCATTCTTTTTCCTTTTTCTTTTCCCCTTTCACTGAAGCATGGCTTTCTTCTTTTTTAACTTCTCAAGCAATTAAAGCAACAAATATGAAGTACACACAATGACTGCTTGTATAGGAAGCACTGTGAAAGATAAAACACAAGCAACCGAACAAGGCCCGGCATTTATTCTACAATGGCAACCATCACCAAGCAATTAACAATCAGCACATAGAACCTGAGATCATCACTAGACCACTCAATCTCACCAATCCTACTCGTAAATTAAATTCCTGCCTTCTACCAATATCAGAGACGAGAATCACAAACCAAGAACATTCTAAACAAACTTATCCACGTAGCACCATAGAGGAAGAGAGCAAACAAATAAAAAAAAAATCATAAAATGATAAAATGAACCAAATAAACAGTTAAGACTACTTACATTGTTTTGAATTTTAACCTGGTCAACTGAGAGTAAAAATTGATTATATGCATCCTTGTCAGACAGAAGCTTACGTAACTCATCAACACTGAAAGAACAAGAAAGAAATTAAGAAATGGTGATACAATAACATACTAAAAAAAGGATATTTGCAAGAAAACTGTAATGCACTTAGTTGATCTTTCCCATATGCTTGAAATATAATAATTTAATAAAATGCTGGAATCAAAATCATAAATTCAAAGCTCAATTAGCTGACAAAAAAGTTGACAAAAACTTTGGTAGATTTTATATAAGCAATAAAAATGCTACTTGGACTCAAAATGAACACCAGACACAAAATAAACATGCAATCAAGATAACCGCATTAATATGGAGTCAACATATCAGACTAATCACCTTTTGTCCTTCAAGAGGGCAATGACGCCTGGAGCTTCAGCAGGTGAAACATGAGATGGAGACTGTGGCCGATCCATAGGCCTCTGATAACTAACACTATTAGAACTGTTACTTGGTGATGGAGGCTGGGTAGAATTTGGGGAGCTACCAACAGGAGGAGGATACCAGGAATTTGACGCACCCTCTTGTGGATGTGGCTGAGCTTGTTGCCCTGGTGAACCCCTAGAGGCAAACAAGAACAGGCAAACAAGAACAGAACTTTAGCAGAGAGTAACGTAAAAATGACAAAAAAATATGTGAGCAGAAAGCAAGATATGTCTCATAGATGGTTATATACTATAAGGATATTAGATTAACTAGACTGCAAATATTTCTCAGTGCCTAATAGTAGCCGGACACACATGTTATGTTTTAACTATCATTCTCCATGTGCCAAGTAGACATTAAGCAAAAAAAAAAAAAAAACCTAAAACAAATTAGGTCCAACTCCGTTAAACATTGAATTTACCCCATACAACTAACTAGAAACCCCAAAGGATGCTTAAAAACCTGATAATAATAGGCAATCCATGCATCCAGGCCATCGGACACCCAAGAAACTTGAAACTATCATCATGAGGAATACAGGTATTTCTCATCCAACCAATACACATCTGTTTCAACCTATACATTACTGCATAATTTGCAGGTGGTTACAATAGCTGACCTGTTCTTTTAACAGAAAGTACAACAAGACCACAGTTTTTCAATAAAAAACTAACCTAAACTTCCCTTTTTTTCCACAGATTACTATTCCATCCAACTAGAATCGAAAAGTCAACCAAAGTTCAATAAATCAAAATTTATAATTTCTGTACAATACTAATCTCAAAACCTAGCTTAATATAAGATTTAAAGTACCAATTCATCAACTATGATCGCAAAGAAAAAAGCATTCAATTTCAAGAACATCACAAATAATTAACCTCAAAAACATCAAAATTCAAACATAAAAGAGAAAGAAAACAAAAACAAAAACAAATGAAACCGAAACCAAATCCAAAAAACAGAATTGAAATTGGCAAAAAATTAATAAGTATAAAAAAAGAAATTACCAGAATTTGAACATAGCTTGGAAAGCCCTGGATTGTGAAAAATCTCAGATCAATGGAAGGATCGAAAGCCTCAAAACTATAAGAATTGCAGAGAAAGAGAAGACGAACAGATCAAAGAACAGATGAAAATGATGGATAAATTTATTTTTTTTTTTTTTGAGGAAATGAATTTCTAATTCTTTGGATTTCGTATTTTGGTTTCTTTTGGGTAATAAGAGAGAGAAAAGAAAAAAAATGGTGATTTTGAATATCTTCACTTTTGGGTGATTCACACGTGCTTGTGATGTAGTTTGGAACACACGTGAGAAATGGTACGGCTTGGCTCATTAGTTTATTGGGATTGATTCATGGGAATGGGATAAATAGTGTTTTTTTTTTTAATTCCTTTTTTGTGAAGCTTACAGAAAACTGTTTTATTGACATAAAAAAATTATTTTTATTTATTATTTTTTCATAAAATAAATAAAATTTCTGATTTAATTAAGAGAGAAACACTAATTCACTTTACACTAATTTTTCAGAATGGAGGATAAAAAGTGTATTCGAAAATATTAGAAAATCATACACTTATTAAATTTGAGTCACTTTTGTGGCATTATTTTCATCTTCATACCTATAACAGTTGTCAATATTCACAAAAGAAAAAGAAAATAAACCTTGATTAATTTTGACAATAAGGATTAGTAAAGTTTTATAACTAGAGATAACAAAATAAAAATTATCCATGGGAAGAAAACAAACTCATCACTATACCATAAACAACATTATTTTTATTATTTATTTTATTAAAACTTTAATTTTATCCAATATCTTATTTTAATTCTTAATTTCATCAAAATTTTGGATTGATTAATTTACCCTGGGTTAATTTCTATTCTATTAGCTACCGAATTAAAACATTGAAGATACTTATAATTTTTAGACTACATATATGTATGCATTTATAATGATTTGTTTCTCATTCAATTATTATGTTAAATGGTTCAAATGAAAATTAAACAGCTTAATTAATCTAAGCTTTTCATATGAAATATGTTCAAATTCATTAACCTTATAAAAGATGTTTCAACGGTCACAATATTCATCTTTCCCTTACAAGACATGCATTCGAGCTGACATGTCCATATCTCTCCTCGTTGATCATGTACCTTTTTTTTTTCGCTTTCTGTTGAATTTGTTCTATATAGTTGTCAATATGCATAATAACTAAAATTGCTTGATGGGAAACTTGTATAGCTTTTTTTTCTTGTTTAATTTCTACATACGATAAAAACAAATGTAAATGAGATTAAAAGATTTTTTTACTTTGGCCGTAAGATTAATTAAGAGATTATGTATGAGAAGAACATAAGATTAGGGCGTTTCAATAAGTTAATTTGATATTTTGAATTAAAAATCTTAGATTTGAATCATTGAAGTTATCTATTGTATAGTTATTTATTTGATATATCAAAAAACTCAATGATTTTGATTTTTTTTTTTTTGTTTTTTGTTTTTGGGTGCTTCACATGTGATTGTGATAAGTGTTTTAAGACATGACTCAATCAGTCGAACCAACTCAATTAGACCCAAGCTTAAAAATGGGCCGGTTACATGCCTTAACTCATTTTGAGAGTTAATCCATCCAAACCCGCTTGACTCGTTCTACTTGCTCTGCTCGCCCAACCTGTTCCACCCACCTAGCAAAATCTATCATTGCTATATTTCTTCGAGTGCGTAATCCTTTCCTCCATCAACCTAATTGACAAACAGTGTAAGCTTTTAGGGATTGATTTCACAGCAATCAGACTTGTGAATGCGCTTTGCTTCTTCACCTTCGTTAACTGCTCATTCATAGTAAAAATCGATCAACACCAATGTAGTCGGTATTGTACTGTACCGACCGGTACGGCTGGTACGTACTGGTTTTGGAGGTTAGCCGAAACGAAATAAGTTAAAATTTTGCTTCAGTCAAATTTCGATTGTACTGATCAAATTTCGATGTACCGGTCAAAATTTCGGCTGGTATACCAAAATTTAACTGGTACAATATGCAAGAATTTAAAAAAAAAAAAAAGATTTCCTAGCCAAAACGACGCCGTTTTGACCAGTTGTGCAATTTCGATTGCACAAATCCCCCCTGTTCACGCATCCAGCTGTCTTGTCAATCTTCCATTTTTTGGTACAATTACCGCTACCATTCAAATCAAATTCAAATTTTA